TCTATATTAGACAACACCAATATCCTCGCATCCAACTTGTGGGGTACTTGCTTAGAAGGATGATTAATAGATCGTACGCATTAGTCCTAATTTAGAAATAGCGCTGGGTACTTGCTTGGGAGAGTGATACAATACTACCAAAACTAGAATAGTAAGAAAAGTAGCGAACATGTGAAAAGGCTGTAGTAAATGATTGGCTTTACTTAAACAAGAAGCACCTCTGGCACCGTAGAACAACTAGCTAAAGAAGGTAATTTCATAGAGGCAGGCGAGCTAATCTAGTACATATAAAGGAACCAAGTCGAAGCCCTAGTCATACCTATATAGAAGTTATTGACAAAAGAAGCCAGAATACACCAACAATAATACAATACCAACCAATGATGAAGAGTCAAATTGGAAGTCAAGGTGAATTAGGGTATGCCTCCTAATAACATGACGCAAGGCCTACGATTAGAAGTAGAATTGCTTGCTACTTAAAGAATTTCATAGTGTTAGGCTGGTCTTTAACAAGATAAATCATTAAAGCAACTATGCAATAGGGTTCTGATAATATATCATATGATGAAGTACAAATGGATTAGTTAGTATCACTATATCAGAAAAAGAATATTAAGTCCTGGGGTGATAAACCAGCAGTAGCAGCAGGGCTTGGCTTGAGATATGGGTTAGTAGTACCTGAGCAGATAAGTGGGAGATTAGGGTATTCATGGAGAGAGATGGCACATGAAGAGATGCAAACTGGTTGAGGTGATGCAAACTCAAGATAAGTTTTTAATTCAACAATAGAATACCAACTCTATCATGTAGTAAATCTAACTAGACAGCAAGTTCTTGGCTTGAGATACGAGGCTGTTAGATCATCTGCACCAATTATAATTGCACGAATAAAATACCTTAGAGAGAAATTGCAGTAGATTATACTTGCAGATATACCAACTTGGGAGCTTATTAGAAGCGGACATCCGATGTACCAAATTAGAAGTTATGATTGGTCAGATGAGATGTGGGAGGAATGTGATATTACTAGAAATAGTTAGATGAGAAGCGTTAATCTAGGTAAGATATGTGTAGGGCATAAACCACTCTAATATGTTTAAGTTATAGATAAATTAGTCTAAGTCTCTATAGTACTACATTAGCATATATGTAAGGATATATCTAAGTATATGTTAATAAAAACTAGAGCCGTGACCTCACCTTAAATATTAAAAAAAAAAAATAATAATAATATAATAATGTATATATTATCTAACCTATTTGGACATTTTAAATAGTTTGATAACATTGCTAGTATAAGTTGTACTGACTTTTAGCTCATATTTTGCTAAAAAAAAAAAAAAAATACTTTGTTTATATCAAATATCAGCAAATAGATGATCAGATTAAATTTGCTATTAATTAAAGGTTATGCTGCTTAAATTTAATGTTAATTATTTTATTGCTATTTTTATAATTTCTAAAACACCTAATAAAAATTGAATGAATGGTACTGATTCAATTAAGTTTGTAATTTCAAAATAATAGATTTAATAAAAATACAAAATTGTAAATATATATATAAGTATGTATATACATACATAATTTTTACATTAGCAATTAAATAGTGTATAAGTTTTAAAAAAAAATCATATCAAACTCTTTCTGACAATCCTTTGGTCAACAACAATAGCAAACCGAACTACAGAAAAACAATATAGAAACATCCAAGAAAGATACTTTTCAGTCTTATCTTATAGTAATACAGTTGTTGACAAAGCTTGAAGATGTGAAACACTGAGAAGTGGGCATACTTTGGGTAGTTTTTTTTGAGGTCAAGCCTTCTTCAGCTTGAGGATAGACTCTCTAGATTATTTGGCATTCAAATAAAAGAGTTTTCTGGGAACTGATATTACTTAAGTGTAGGTTATTGTTAACAAAGTTTAGGAGATATGATACACCAGGACCCCGAACAATCTATGTACCAGTAAGGTTTTAGTTTGCTTATTTTTGGTCTTTTTTGTGCAGATTATTTCCATTTTTAGTAATTAGTTTGCTTATTTTTAACTTTTTTCTTGCAGATTCTTCTATATTTAGTAATTTTTGTAAAACCTTACCCCTCTATACGTATTTCGGGATCCTGATACACCGAGGACAGTGATGGGTTCAGACAGTGTCCCAGGCTTTTTTGCTGTGTCCCAACGTCCTAACGTCCCAATGTCCCATTGTTCCAAAATATCCCAACAAAGTCCCAAGTTTTAATAATTAATAAATTAATTTAAAAAATATACAATTATATATTTTGTTAAGTACTGAATATATTTTTAAAAAAATTAAAATAGATTATTTTAATAAAATTTTGAGTAATTTTAATTTATAAAAATGGTCTAAAATGTCTCAAAATATTCCAGCGCATGTCCCAACTGTCCCAAACATATCACTGACCGAGAAGTAGGCATAACTTGGATGGTTTTTCTTGGGTCAAGTCATTGCTATATCAGATGGACTTTTTAAGTTATTCGGTATCCAAACCAGAAGGGCTATTTTGAGAATAAGTAGTAGTCAAAAGACTCTCGCTGAGATAGTTAAAACTTGAAGAATTGCCTATACAACTATAAAACTTACAAAAGAACCTCACATATTCTCGTTGACTCTTTGCTTTTTTTTTGAGGAAAATTTTGTAAAAAAGTAGACGATTTAGCTTATCTTCTCCAAAAGATCAACATATTATTTACTTACCAAATTGGTCAGCATTGTTTACCTTTTCCTGTTACAACAAACACATAGATATGTATAGAATGTGAACATATAGATTACATGCCTCAGAAGTGGCAATTTAAACAAACAATGCTTTGAGACTAATAGTTCTGACTTCTCTATGGTGATGATGTTAAAAAACCCATTTTTTTTTACCTTCTATGGTTTTTTTGCTTAGATATACTAATTATATAGATTAGAGTAGAGACTAGTTTAGATAGTATAGTATGTAATTTTTACAAAGCTTGATATAGGCTTATAATTGTGACCATCTGTTGTGAGTATATCTCATATTTTTTTTTTTTCGTTTTTTTCCTTTACTCTTTTATTTTCTTGTTTGTATCTTTATCGTATTCCCTTATACTTCTATGTTTTTTTTAAAATTGTTTTTTCTTTTTCTTTCACTTTCCTATAAGAAGATGTCATCAGATTGGTGATATCCTATTGTAGTGCAGTGGTCGGACAAACCCTCTGTCTAGGGTATTATTTTAATTGATTGTACCTCTGTGGTGCAGCAGGTCACTTGTAGATACATGTAGATAATCGGTTAGGTTATGTGAAGTAACCACAGGATGTCAGGATCAAAGTTTTATTGCATTACATCTTTCACGAAATAATCTTTAATAAACAGAATTCACTGGCGCGACTTTGCCTAAATAAAAAAAAAAAAAAAAAATAGGATAAAATTTTTACCAGCACTACTAGATTTTATATATCAGCTTTATTAAATTTTTATTTGAACACTTGTATACAGCTTAATTTATACAAAAACATATATATATAATTAAATTACAATGTATAAGTATGTAATATAATTTAGATCATATCTATTATGCTGAAATCAATAACTTAATTAGAACAGCTGAAAAATCATATAGTCAATTTTTATCTAATATTCTAAAAATTTTGAAAATAGCAGTAATACTTAAATTTTGCATTATAATTATTATGGATTAGAAATAGATTGCTTTCATATTTAAGTCAAAGCCTTTTACTTATTATATATTAAATAATTTTTATAAACATATTTATGATTGTATTCATGTCTGATTGAATAGTTTCCTTATATAGAGTAATGGCTTAGCTTGGCTCGAATTTAATCGGCTCACAAATGGTTTGGCTCTGGCCTTTGAAGCCAAAAGATTGGCTAGGCTTGGTTAATGCAAACCATAAGCCAAGCCAAGCTGTTTGCATCACTAAGGCCACTCCAATTGATTTTCTGTTTAACATAAATAAAATAGCTCATAAGAGTGGGGGGGAGAGGCATAAAAAAAAACAAATTAATAAAAATACAATGATTCTATTGGCTGTAAAAATGTAAAAATATAAAAAACTAATACTGCAATTTGATTGGTTAAAATGATGTTTTTTTTATATACGATTTTTTAAAAAATTGAGGGGGGGTTGAAAATTAAATTGGCCTGGCCTAATTGAGGGAGGTGCTTGAGAACGGCCTTTATCCGGGTATAGCCGAAAATCTATCCGAGGTATGATCGGCATTTTTTCCGGGGTGTTATAACAAGTCGATTCAAGGACCTGCTCCGGCGAGCTTTTAATAGTGCATTACAAGTCTAAAGGGTTTTTATTGCAAAATTCATAGATTGTACTTTCCAATACAACTCACTCTCGTTATAACGAACTCTCGAGACTAATCAAAATCTCGATACGTATACGTATAGTGAAGTTAAGTTCAAAGCCAATCAATATAAAATTCTCTAGATATACGTAGTGAATTTTTTAAAAAAACATTTATTAGTGAAACGGATCACTTCACTATAACGAGAGTTGTATCATATGCAATCACAACTATTTACAACAATAAAGACAATAAAGCATAATTTTTACTACGTTTCGAGTCGTCTACGTAATATATAAGAATCGATCCACATGGTTGGGTTAATTCATGCGATCGACCAATCAACAAATCGATACACAAAATAAAGATACATTATCTGATGAAATACGTAATTAGTGATTACGTACACCTTGTAAAATTATAAATACTGTAACTTTTTTGTGTAAAAAAAAAAAAAAATTTTTAAAGTTAATTTTTGCAAATGGTATGGATAACAGCTTGTTTTCGTTCTTTAATTTGTCCAGTATGAACTTTAAAGATAGAGATCGCTTACGTTTTTTGGTCCTATAGGGTAATACGCAACCTGGCGGTCTTCCTCCACTTGGTGGTCCCGGCGGTGATGACAGGAACAAAGAGGATAAGGTTTTTTTTATTCTATTCTCGTTCGATCTTGCCATAATTAAAGTTTATGAGCTCATTAAATACTCGCATACAGGATAAAGATAAGAAAAAGAAATGGGAACCACCACTTCCCACTCGTGTTGGTAAAAAAAGAAGAAGAGGCCCTGACGCAACGTCTAAATTGCCTGCCGGTATAAGCCGTGAATAATTTCATATATTTTTCCGTGAGCTGTTTGACCAATTTTCTTGACGATCACTTGCCCTTTGATAGTCTTTCCTACAACGCGGTGTCGACTGAAACTTTTAAAAATGGAACGTATAAAAGATTATTTATTGATGGAGGAAGAGTTTGTTCAAAATCAAGAGAGATTAAAACCACAAGAAGAAAAGGCACAAGTAAATATCTGTTTTTTTCATTATAATCCTTTTTATAATAGAAATAGTGTTGACAATGAGAATGTGACTATTTTCAGGAAGAAAGAACCCGGGTGGATGATTTACGCGGTTCTCCAATGGGTGTGGGCTCTCTGGAAGAAATCATTGACGATGATCATGCAATAGTTTCTTCTTCTACGGGACCGGAGTATTATGTCAGCATTTTATCTTTTGTGGATAAAGATTTGTTGGAACCAGGATGTTCAATTTTGTTACATCATAAAGTATGTACAAAAACGCGTATTATTTGTTGTTTTATTGGTCTATTTATTTAACATATACATTAATTAACATATCAACTTAATAGGCTATGTCTGTTGTTGGTGTACTTCAAGATGATACTGATCCAATGGTTAGTGTTATGAAACTTGAGAAAGCACCTACAGAATCATATGCAGATATTGGTGGTTTAGAACAACAAATTCAAGAAATCAAAGAATCTGTAGAATTACCCCTAACACATCCAGAACTTTATGAAGAAATGGGCATTAAACCTCCAAAAGGTGTTATCCTATATGGAGTTCCAGGAACAGGTAATTCCAACATTTCTCTTAATATGATATCTACGAACCAATAGTAAATATCTTTGCATATGCAGGTAAAACACTTTTGGCTAAAGCCGTGGCGAATCAAACATCTGCAACTTTCTTGCGCGTTGTGGGTTCAGAATTGATCCAAAAATATCTTGGAGATGGTCCAAAACTTGTACGCGAATTATTTCGTGTTGCTGAAGAACATGCGCCTTCCATTGTATTTATTGATGAAATTGATGCTATTGGAACTAAACGGTATATAGTGAATCTTATTCTTTTTGAACTTATAATTTTAATTGACATTCATTTTATTCATTTATTTTATTTTATTTTTTCTTAAATTGACACCATTCAATTATAGATATGACTCCAATTCAGGTGGCGAAAGAGAAATTCAAAGAACTATGTTAGAGCTTCTAAATCAGTTAGACGGGTTCGATTCTAGAGGAGATGTCAAGGTTAACTAATTTGTAGGAATTTCCTTCTAATCATTAATATGTAAATAAATTATTAATTCGATCTTTATATTCATAAAGGTCATCATGGCAACAAATCGTATTGAATCATTAGACCCTGCTCTGATTCGCCCGGGTCGTATTGACCGAAAGATAGAATTTCCACTTCCAGACGTAAAAACGAAACGTCGTATTTTTAATATTCATACGGGAAGAATGACATTATCTGATGATGTGGATCTTGAGGAATTTGTAATGTCTAAAGATGATTTGAGTGGTGCTGATATTAAGGCAAGTTTTTTGAAAAAAAATCTAGGTTTGAAAGGGACAAACATAATCAATGTATACTTATTTTGCTTTCCACGTGATTTAGGCTATTTGTACTGAGGCAGGTTTGCTTGCTCTACGGGAACGTCGCATGAAAGTTATCGCTGAAGATTTTAGGAAAGCGCGTGAAAAAGTTCTTTATCGCAAGTCTGAAGGTACACCCGAAGGACTATACCTCTAGTTTAGAGACTAAACAATACACAGGATTGGAACAACTCTCAAGAATTTAAGAATCAAGGCTTTGTCGTTCTCGGGTGGTAAAGTTAGTTTGGGTTCTGTTTAGGTTCTAAAAACCTCTAGGTCCCAAATTAAAACTTAAGAATCAAGTTTTTTATAATAAGTTCCAAACCTAAGTTAAACCGATTTGGTGAACCAAAATTTAAACCTGGTTCTAAATGGTTTGCAAGATATAAAAAATAATAAAAAGCTACTTAATTTATAACTGTTAGAATATATATATATACTTAATTCGCTATTTTTGATTTATTTAATATAACGGGATGGGTATAGTGGTAGATCATATGGGGTGTCTTCAATTAAAAGGGCCCATTTTTACAATTTTTCAAAAATTGAGTTTTTGTTAGATTCATATAAA